AGGGTGAAGGCAAACAAAAGGTATATTGGTTGCCTTTGGAAAAAAATAAGTTCAATTGCACTAGGGCGCATAAACACAATAGCTACCAGAAAGCTATCTGATTTCAAAGAGCCAGCCTCAGAGCTGAGACTGCCAGTCTGCGTCCAATGCATCATGGCAGCTGTTGCAGTTGGCACCCACGCCTACAAGAAGAAAGGACCTATCAGATCGGGATGTCATACTGCCTTGTTTAAGCCCGTGTTTTCCAATGAATTAGGCCTTTATAAGACATGGTCCTTAGGGAAAATGATAGGTATGTATCAACACATAAACAGAAATGACACTTAATTTCAAGCTCCATTAGTGATACACAGAGATGTGGGGAGAACAAGGTAGGCTGAGATGGTAAGAGTGCACGAATGTTAAGCTAAAATAATGTGGAATGCTACAAGCTGAAAATAAAGGGGTTATCAGCAAAGAGACACAAAATTTTACTATCACAAACTCTAAAATCCTTTATTTTCTACTGAAATGACCTGCTTTTGTAACAAGCATTTGGACCAAAAAGACCAGGTGTCCCGAATGTGCAGACCAAATCTAGCATGCTTTCTGCTTCAGTAAGTAAAGTTTTATCAGAACACAGCTCTGATCTTTGTGCTCTGCCCTGTTCCCGGCTGCCTCCACTGCACCATAACAGGATTGAGTAGTTTCCAAGGAGGCTCTAGGACGTGAAAAGATGAAGATTGGCTCTCTGGCATTTCACAGAAGATATTTGACAATCTTGGCTGTAGACTAAGAGAAAAAGAGATGGATAAATGAGCATGTCATTACTTACAAAAAACTGCTACCTTTGGGGGAAAACGTGAGTAAAATTTAATCATAAGTGTTTCTTTTATGAGTCTAATAATGCTTTTTCCCATAAAAACATGTAACAATAAAGTCCCAATTTGGGGAGGTCAGTTTGAAACTCTTTAAGATGCTTGCTGCAAAGAGGGAATGAGAAATTTATAGGCAGGTAAAACAAAATAAAGTTACAGCCTGAGAATTTGACCACCACTTGCTTTCTATCTCCCTCTTCCCTATATTTTCCTACCTCTTTGTGCACTCTCTTCACTCTGCTTTCCTTGACGACTTCCTTGTTGCCTGCTGCACGTAGCTGTCTGTGTCCTGACGAATCGGATTCCTGGCAGCTCCATTTACGCAGATTTGTATCCCATCACCAAGTCAGAGAGCATTTCTCTTATCCAACCTAGAATCCAGCAGGAGGTTATGTAGGGTGACTGTGAGATGTGCTCCCATCCCGCCAACAGTCAATGTGGCCTAATAGATGGAGCTCAACCACTGACCCTGCTCACATCTTGTGTCCACACCTGTGGTCTCAGGTTTTGCTGCAAATGAGATGATTGGCGGATAAAGGGCTAACCTGTGAGTTTATAGCTTACACCACCCTAAGTCACCTTATCAAGTCTCCCATTTCAGTTAGGCACAAGAGCTAAAAGGTTATTGCCTCTAAGCAAGGCATTTTACGAATCATAACTATATTCTGATTAGAAACATCTCTAGTTACAATTATATTTACCTGGTTCTCATGACGCTTATTTCTTCATGCTATAAATGAAACATCAAACAAGACATACATATTGTATATTCCCTTCTGTCTTAAGTGTCTTTGAGTTCCTCATTCTTTCTCAACACTATATGACTGAGAGTTTAATTATTTTTGACTCTGTTTTTGCAAAATTTAATACATATCTTCATAATACATGTCACCATGCAACAATAAACAATGATTGAAAACACACTGGCTATGTAGGGTACTTATGTTGAGATCAGATTCACCTCAGAAGAGTTCACAGCTCTCCCACTTACTCATATGGCCTTATAGTCAATATTCCCCAATCAAGGTTTGAAAATGATAGTATATTCATTGCAGACCTACTATGTGTCTATGCGATACAACCATGAACCAATGAAGTACAGTTTCTACTCTCTCAATACTTATCCAGTAAAGCATAGACACGTATACAGGCTGTCCTACACAGTGGCAAGGAATGGATGTCATGGAAGTTGTAGGGCACAAGGGAGAAGTGATCGGAAGGCAGACCTTTACAAAGGAGTTGGCATGTCAAAGCAGTCATCTAGGCAACACATGGCAAGCAAAGAAGGCTGAATAGGGTTTCTCAGAGAGAGGGTAGGTAGCAAGCAGACCAGAATTCAAAGATGTTCTAAAGAAATGGAGTGTTATTTAGGAATCTCCAGCTGGCAAATGACAGAACCCCATTTCCAACTAGTCAAATTTAAAAAAAAATCACTATCTTATTAATCAACCTGTGATAAAATTAGTTGTGATCAAGAAACCAGAAAAGATGCCACCACACTCTTCATCTATGCCTCTGCCGTTTGTTTCTTCCTATGGTGACACTGTTGTCTACCTCTAAGAGTATTTTTTTTTCACACAGCTAGGTAAGTGGATACCAGAAGTCCTGAATTCCCACAGTAACTTGGTCTCAGGACAGTCAAGCAAATTGCTATCGTCCTTTCTCAAGCCTGAGACGTGCCAAGAAGGTGCATAGCGCAAGGATTCACTCACTTTACAAGTTAGCTACCAGTCTCATGGATGCTGGCCAGTGACACCAGCGTACTGGGGCAGGGGCAAAGAACCTCCATCCCCTACGGCACAGCAGGCAGCTCGGACTTCACTCACATTCACATGACTTCCTGTTGGCCTCCATGTGTAGTGGAGACACATGGGGCTGTTGTGAGGGCCTCCAGAAAAACCTTAGCTAAGAAAGCAGCTTCTAGCAAACCTGTCTGAACCCTGCTCCTAAGATAGACATCATCTTCACTGTCCATGTCAGAAAACAAATCTGCCCTGTGCCACAGCAAGCTATCACAGACAGCTAAGCTGTTATACAAACATCCTTGAAAAGACAGCCCAGAATCAAAGTTGTCATGAGATGTGTAGGAACACCATGACTGCCAACGAAACACCCCATGGAGGAAATCAAATGTGTATGTTGTGGTTCCACTGCTGTCTCAGATCAAGTTCTCTGTTCAAGGACAGCAGTACTATTGATTCTACTCAAGTCAGTTTCCCATGTGCAGAATGAGGTCACGGTTGATTACCAACACAGTAGGAGCCAAATGTTCCTAACAAAAATGAACCACAAGTATTATGACTCAGTGCTAACGTGTAAACTGAAGGCTAAGAGAAGATAGGGCCGAGCCAAGGCTAATAATCAGAAGTCACATTAGGATGTCTGGGATTTACCTATGAGCAGTAGGAATTTATCAAATGATATCTTAATAACAGTACAGTTACTGCTATTTTCAGGGAAAAAGCACTTTGGCATCAGATTCTGTAAAATGGGAAGAAGACAGTAAACATGTAGATGGGGCAGGGACCATTGTAACAGTGCAAGTAAAAGATAGTCCAGGCCTGGATCAAGGGAAATGGGAGGGAGGACAAAACGAAAGTATGTGGTGACAAACACGGAGAAAGAATGAAGGGCAGACAAGCTGTGTGTGTGTTTGTGTGTGTGTGTGTGTGTGTGTGTGTGTGTGTGTGTGTGTGTGTGTGAAACCTCATGAATTTAATTGTAGAACCTAGAAAGGGAAGTGGATTTTTTAAGTGATATGCAAGATAACCTGGGTTTTGAAAATTAAGAACTGCAGATAGAATGTGGTATAGAAAGCAAAGCTGGGAAACTGGAAGACATGTGCACCCTAAAAAGTAGGGGTGAGGGTTCAACAGAGAAAAGACCTCCATCACAAAACCTAGAGAACACCAGTGTGGAAGGGGCAGGAAAAATAGGGACACGTTACAGAAATTGAGGAAATAGAAAGCAAACAAGTAACAGACCTTACAACAGAAACCAAAAGAAAAATGATTCGGGAACAGAAATTGACCACATTCACTCTACAGTGGCCAGCCAAAATGCTTTAATACGGGTGTGCCACAATGTAATCAAAGAACTAAAACACAAAATGAACTCAAAATGAATAAACCATGGAAAATATCCTGGAAGACAAAGAGGCAGATCCTATCAACTTTCAAGCACTGTAGGTATTGAAACGGATCCCATTCATATTCCTTGTAGTACAAGGCTCAGTACACCTTCCTAATATTCCGTTATAACAATGATCACTGACACATGAAACTAGATTATGCTTTTCTTCCTCTATCTTTTCTGATCACTGCTGCAAATAACCAGTAACTTTATTTGTACTAAAAGGTAATTTTTTTGATCCACCATATTCATCCCCAATTAATGTGATTTATTTCATTTTGATTATATCACTGGTACCAAACACTTTTAATTATTGGTTTCACCAAAAGTCAGATTAATTTGGCAGGACAAATAAATACAAGCAGAATTCTATTTCTGCTCAACTCACTTAATGAAGATCAGCTCAGGCTGGTGGGTCTCCATGAAACACTGGACTGGTCCTATTGCTGAGTGGAACCGATTATGACTGCTACTTTCCTGGAGGACATATTTATTTAAACTTCTTTTAAAAAACAACTGAGTAGTAATCCATAGTGTACATATATGTGCTTCAGTTTTTTATCTACTCAATTTAAAAAATAGTTATTTAAATTTTTTTGGAAAATCAGATCTATAGAGGAGAAAGATATTCCATCCACTGGTTCACTCCCCAAGTGGCCACAATGGCCGAAGTAGAGCTGATCCGAAGCCAGGAGCCTCCTCCGGGTCCCCCAGGCAGGTGCAGGGTTCCAAGGTCAGGGGCCATCACAAGCAGGGAGGTGGAAGGAAAGTGGAACAGCCGAGATATGAACCAGCACCCACATGGGTATGCTGCATATCCTCCTGGAGAAGGATATGCAGTTTCTGGTCCTTCTTGTATGTGTGCACCTGACACTCTCATATCTGTGCCCCCCTATTTTTCTTGTCCCAGTAGAAGCTCAAGAAAAATAAAAAATTCTTAGCTTTTAGTACAAGGGTAAATAAGTTAAGCCTCAGTCAAGTAGAGAAAGACAAATAGAAGCAGATTGGGAATGACATTTTATAATTTATTTATCTATATTGGTACATTTTACAATTTTTCATGAATAAGAACTTGGAGAATGTTAGAAGTTCGGAAACTAACAAAATTCAACTGTGGTGCTTTAAAAGATTTACCACTTTTTTTTATAGGTTTATTGACTATTACCAAGTTTCAATATGCTTCAAATAATTAAATACTGCAACTGGGACATTAAAAATACAAACTAATTTACCAAAATAATTGTATTCTGAATATTATGTACAATATTATACATTTTACATTACATAGAGTTTTATACATAAAAGTAAGATTTTATTTATGATTATTGGAAATCTAAAACACATTTGAATAAAACATTCCTATGCATACATACACAATCACCAACCAGAATCATCAAAACCACATACAAGTGTGGTTATTAAAAAATAAAATTACACTCATACAATGAAGGTGGGAAACACAATTTCTTTTCATTACTTTGAGAATATTGTTGCAGAACCGCACACATCTGAATTTTATAATCGAGTTCTATATTTTAAACTTGACACAGAACTATGTCTCTTTCAAGAGGAGTTTCTGATTTTCATTTTCTTATTTTAAGGGATTGTTGTAATTCATAATCCTTAAATGCCTTATGCATACACAAAGAGTACAGTCATGAAGGCCAGTCAGATTACCACATACATATTTCACTACATGGTCTGAAAAATAATCCTATCTACTTGTGTAGTTTGGTATGCCTTCATACTTATTATCAAAGGGGTTACATAGCGAGGCACAGAGCTCCAAGGAGAGATCCTTTAGAGAATTAGACGCAGAAACATGCGTCACTGTATGACCGCAGAGGAAAACACTGTGTGTGCTCACACAGAAACACCACACACCCACTAATTAGCTTTTAAACCAATCATCGTTCCCCCAAAGGTTAGTACATTGATGTGCCAAACCCTGTTTGAACACTGAAGTGGCTGAGTAAGTCCAGGCTACTGCCCTGCGGGTCTTGGCACCATCTCACGTTCTAATTCATGCCTCTCAAGCAGGAGAGCTGTGCTTTAAGTAATGATCAGTGTGTTTCTAAGTGATCTGAATGTCAAGGACATCTTTAATCCACAAAAGAAACCGCCCTCCACCTGCACGTTGCTGTGCCCAGATCCACTTCCAGAGCCACACACACTGGGGGAAATCCTAGGAGAGCCATACACAACAACACAACAGACAGTGGCCCGTCTCCTTCAAGTCTCAACAGCATTTCTCAGCACTCTCTGGTTGTAAGGCCTGTGTCAAAGGCAAACAGCACAGCTCGAGAACCAAGAGCAAGGCGACAAGTCAAAACACACACAAACTCAATGATCTCAAAAATCAGACTCGGAGCTGAAGGTCGGTTTGTTTCTCTTCTTGTTCATATTTAGCTTTAATATAAAAGAGGCTCTACCCTAAGTTACCAAAATATATTCATATAAATGTATGAGTATTTCTAATATAAAAGTTTAAAAAAAAGTCAAACTTATCTTCTTTGTTTGTAATTAAATATACTGGAATTCAGTAGGCAGATTCGTTCTTGAGCAGCTTCAAAAGAATTCCCAGGCTGACAGTGTCCGGAAAGCAACCCTTGCTACATTTCAGCTCTTCGCCGTGGCTTCCCCATGAGGGCAGCCCTGTCCCCCTCCTCCTCCTCCTCCTCCACCTCGTAGTGCCCCTCTCGGCCTTGGGGGTGCTTGTCATTGTGGCCCCCCAGCTCTTCTCCATCGTTGTTTTTATCATCCGCCTTAAAAAGAAAATGAAAAAAGTCACAAGTCAGGGTATAGAGTTAGTGACAAATACTCCCCCTTTAGCAAGGGTGCAAAGTTACTCATTTTTGCAAAAAAGAAACCAGTGAACAAAACAGTGACACCACCCCTCCTGGACATCATGCTATAAGTCTTAGTATTCCAGAGTGAGTGAGTCGCACCAACACGTGTCTTTCCTGATGATTGCTGTGCCACAACTATACGTACAAATGCCTCTTCTCACTCACACACACACACACACACACACACACGGTGGAAATACACATCCCACACATACATTTTCTTCATTTTCACCATAGGTCTCTTCAGCATTATGCTCCAATTCTCTTTTCTTTTCTTCAGTTAAATCTTCTTGAACCTAAAACCACAGAGACTATATGATACTTCATCATTTAGACACTTGTGACTAAATATCTAAATTTTGGTTCCCCCAAAGTTCTTTTAAAATAGCACAAATTTTACTTCAAAAAAACTTGTGAAAGAAAGTCAAAGGTACTATTTTCTCATTAGAAAACAAAATGATCTTGACAGCGGGAGGCTGGACTCTGCCATTGTCCATGCCCACAGTGATAAACACGTGACTGCTTATGAAGAGTTATGCTATAGTAATAATATAGGGGACGTTGGTGGGGGGGAGGAGATTTGAGAAGGGGGTAGAGGAAATAAAAATAAACAAGCAAGCAAATAAATAAAAATATAAAATCTTCAAGTACATGCATATAAAGAAAGTATCTTATGCTGATGGTCATCATGAATGCTCCAACGTTATCTCAATATTAAGACATACCTACATTGTTTATCACTCCTGTTTATTCACTGAATTATTCTTGAAAATTCTAGACATGTAATTTTACCTGTATCACAGTTTACATCCTTGGACATCACACCTGATAAAATTAGTATTTGCACGGTCCATCAGACATTTTCTGATTGTTTACTTATGTCTAGTTACATTCAATTTGTACAAATCTAAACAAAGCCCACACATAAGAGTTCTTCATTCTCTTTTCCTTAATTCTAGATGTGTTGTACTCACATTTTTTATTTGTTTCCTCTTTCAGGGTATCACTTAACTCATTCCTCTAGCCCACCCAATGCCAGCAAATGCAAGCTAGCTTAAGGACTGAATCAATCCACTTTACCATCTGACCTTTGTTCAAGCAGAGATACCACCCATTTATGTCCCAATTAAGGGTTAGAAATGATGATTTTTCCAATCCCAGAATTCTGCATTCACTATTTCTATAAGGAACTTATCCATGCCAATTGTATAATGCCATCCTTTAAAAGCAATCTTGCATGTGCCATAATAATGATTCCAGGAATAACAAGCATGTGACCTTGAAAAAGATCCAATCTCTCTGAAGATTAAATTTCTTATCTGTAACATAAAGGGTTGGGTGAAATTGATGACCTTTAATTTTATTTAGATGTGGCAGGGGAAGCTGGTGAGTCATGAACCTTTGTAAAACTTTATCAAGAAAACTGCCAGCAAATGGGCAGAGATTCACAGAACACTAAGGAAGTCCAGTGTTGAGAGACCAAAACTGGATCTGCCATTTGACCCAGCTCCCACTTGTGGGAATATATCCAAAGGAAATGAAATAGGCACATGAGAAAGTGAACTATAATGTTGTATTTACAGCAGCACAATACAGAATAGAGAAGACATGGGAACAACTCCGATGCCTATCAAAAGAGGAGTGGGTCAAAAGTTGTGATACATCTACACTAGGAAAAATTACACACTCATTAAAAAAAGGAATTTTGCTATTTGTGTTATTTTTATTTTACTTATTTTTATTATTAGCATTTTAGATATAGTTCCATAGGTCCTGGGATTTCCCTTATCCCCTCTCCAATTCCCTCCTCCTTGACTTCCCCTACATCATTACTAGTTCTTCATACGCAGTCATATGTCCATCAATGTGGGCATGAACAATGGCAGAGTCCAGCATCCCACTGTCAAGATAAACAGTTTCATTGGCAGTCCATCTTTGCCTGGAAGTAGAGATGCGCACTGCATTGTATCCACACATCTGGATATGATAGTCTCCTTTGCACAGTTACTGTACATCCCCTTAAAGGAAAAGCCACAACACAAGATCAACAACAGGAAGAAAAAATAAAGAAATTAACAACACCATGAACTTAAATAACATGATACTGAATGACTAATGTGTCACTGAAGAAATGAAAAAGAAAATCAAGAACCTTTTTGAAGAAAATGATGCTTCAGGATGATCTATGAGTCATTAAAGAATTTAATCAGAGGCAAGTGTTTTGAAGAGATGAAGCTAATGAAAAAACATCAAAAACCATGAGATATAGTTTCTACTGATCTTTGTTTGCGAGATATGTCTCATGTAGGCAATAAATAGATGGGGTTTTAATCCACTGTTTTACTGATCTATGACATTTGATTGATGCGTTTAAGCCGTTTACATTCAGGGTTAATACAAATAAGTGGCAATTTGGTTCTGTTGTTTTAGCAATGGGTTGTTCATTGATTTAGTCTTTTATTGTCATTACTGGGATGTTCTTCCCATTTGCCTTTGGTTTTGGTAGGTGCTATTCCTCTTTTCTGTCAAGAGAACATCTTGAAGTATCATTTGTAGGGGGCAGGTTTGGAAGAGACATCTTCTTTTAACTTTTCTTTACCGTGGAAGAATTTTATTTCCTTTTCAAAGACAAATGAAAATTTTGCTGGGTATGTTATCCTGGGCTGACAATTTTTTACTTTTAGAATCTGGAATATGTCACTCCCTTCTCTTCTGGCCTGTAGAATTTCCTGTGAGAGGTCTCCTCCGAGTTTAATTGGCATTCCTTTATATGTCAGTTGATTTTTTTCACGTGCACATTTAAGGATCTTTTCTTTATGTTAGATTGAAGAGAGCTTGATTATGATTCGTCTTGGTGAAGATTGCTTTTGGTCATCCCTGTTGGGAGTTCTGTGCCCCTCCTGGATGTTGTTTCCCAATTCTTTTAGATTAGGAAAGTTTCCCCTTATTATTTCATTAAATATATCTGTAAGTTCAGTTTCTCTTTCTGCACCTTCTGGGACTCCCACAACTCTTACATTTGGCCTTTTAATAGTGTTTCTCAATTCTTGAATACTTTTTTTGGCCTGATTCAGCTCTGCTTCCAGCTTTCTGTTTGTTTCCCCCCAGTGACAGGAAATATCTTCTAATTTTGAGATTCTTTCTTCTGCTTCCTTCATTCTATTTTTAGAGACACTCCACTGTACTTTTATTTTGCTCCACTGTATTCTTTTGATATATCAGCTTTTATTTGATTCATTTCCAGTGTGACATATTCCTTGAATTCCTTGAATGTCTGCTTTACATGCTTCTCGTTGTTGATAACAAGTTTTATAACAAGTGTTTTGAATTCTGTATCTCCCATGTTCTCAATGTCTTCCTCAGTGAACTCTGAAGTTGGCAAAGGGTTTTTCTCCTTTGCAATGGAGTCTTCAGTAATAATTCTGCCATTTGTAACAAAGTGGTCCCAATCAGAGACCATTATGCTCAGTGAAATAAGCATATCCCAAAAGGACAAATAATATGTGTTCTCTCTGATAGAATGTAACTTCCTATAAAAGTATAAGATTAATAGATATATAGGTAAACATGCATATAGATATTTTCATCTATAGGAATTGTATAATGGAAACTGGCATACTAAGATGTGAAAACACACTGCAGCATGAATCTCTACTCCCAAATAAAAGATGGACTCCTAATGAAACTGTTCAATATAGATTGACAACAGGATGCTGGACTTTCTGCCATCGTCCATACCTACAGTGTCAGGATACACTTAAACAGCAGAATCATGAGCCTGTGACTGCTGTTAAAGGACTGTACTGTTACAATAATATAGCGGGAATCAGGAAGGTAGAGAGGGTGATCCAAACACCTGAGTCCACTTCTGGGAGACAAGATGGAGTTCCTGGCTCTGAACTCTGCTGGCTTAGGCATCTGAGAAAATGAAAGTGTTTAAACACAAGATGAAGCAAGGCCCAGCTCTGCAGTGTTTCTGTTATCAGAGTGTTCCTATGGGTGTCGTCCTGGCACACAGACCACACTTCACTACATTTTTCTCATCGCTGCAGGCTCCCTACATTCCTGACCATCACCAGTACTTTAACAGGACTGGGTGACCACTCTTCCCTTCTGTCCAGAGAAGGCATGGGAATGATGGAGAGAGGTGATACAACGCAACCATCAATCACCCCAGGCTAAATAAGAACCAGAGAGGGAAGGCACACCGAGATGCAGGCAAACCCACCACGCATGCCTGGGCGGCTCACCTGGCAACAGCTCTAACCCCAAGGGGTGGCGTCCTGGAGCCTCTGCAAGAGGGTCATCCAGAAAAAGGACTCCAGCACTGCTATCCTTCTAGGATGTGTGGGCAGCTGCCATGGGAGAAGAAGGCTGCTGCCCGCTCTGCAGGCAGAGGAGGGTGCCAAGCTCAGAATGTGCTGTGCCAGCATGCCTCCCCTGCACCATCGTCATCTCTCCTCTCGGTCTTTTCTTTCTATCCTTGATCCCTCCTGGATCTCAGGAGTTCTCCTGTATCTTAACTGATCATATCTCAGAGGTGGAAAAGAATCAGTAACTATTATTAAATTTTGATGTTGACCCTTCTGAATTTTTAAAGAGAAACCAAGGTGAATCTTTTCTCTCTCTTAATCCCTCAAAGATTCCTGTTACCTGCCATAAAGAAACAAGGCGATATTGGTTCAGACATTCTGTTACAAGAGAGGCCCAGAGGAAAACATCACTTTCTTGCCAATTGTCTAATATTTAAGTTGGCTGGTGTCTCTGGCTCTCTCTGTCAGGATAGCTCAGGTCCTGGTCAGGATGAATTCCAGAATCAGACCAGAGTGAGAATAAAAAGATCAAGCCCGTTCGAGTCCCCATGGCCCAAGATGCTGCTGGCAATCCTCAAAAGCAGCATCTTTCCCTGCTGTCCTGAGGGAAGCACCGATCACATCACTGTCTTGACAAAGCTGACGAGAACAGCAAGCAACAGAAAACCAGCCTGGTCAAAGGTACTTCTGTGAAGGCAGAGCACACACACTCTGCCACAAGCCCACCTTCCCCTTAGGGAGCAATACACAGACTTGCATGACAGTTGGCTGAGAACTGGCTCTGAACCAGGGCTTGTATTTGGGAATGATCCCTGGCCCACAGAGAGACTAAACATGGGCTCTGTACCTAACTTCTCCCCTAGTCCCAAGTATGACAACTGTCTACCTGGCAGTCTGTGAAAAAAAAACAGCAATGACACCACTCACTAGTTACCTACAGGAACCAGCATCATGACAGAGATTATACAAATGTAATTAAAAACGGAGCCAGCACAGTGGTGTAGCCTGTTAAGCCTCCAGCTGGTATGAACACCAGTTTGAGTCCTAGTTGCTCCATTTCTGATCTAGCTCCCTGATGATGTACCCGGGAGAGCACCATATGATGGCCCAACAGCCGGGTCCCCTACACCCACATGGAAGACTGGAAAGAAGCTCCTAGCCCCTGCTTGCAGCTTGGTACAGCTTGAGCCAGTGTGGCCATTTGCAGAGTGAACCACTGGATGGAAGATCTTAGTCTTTCTCTCCTTCTCTGAAAGTTTGTCTTGCAACTAAAAATAGACAAATCTAACTATAAGATGGATGTTTACCAAAAAACAGCAAATTCAAATCAAGTATTAGGAAATTCCATCCAAATACATTCTATTCAATTGAGCTTCTTGTATGTGTTCCCTTTTTTATTTACAATCTTGAATTCTTATGACAGGAGAAGTCAGAGGGCTGGGAGGTGTCATGTGGATTCCAGTAGACACCTCGGGGTATTCCTGTGAGCGAGGGCCTGAGGCGTGGCTACAGAGCAGGTACAGTAAAGAGTACAGGGTTCGCCCAGGTTCCCCGAGTATGAAACCGCTTTATTCCCTCCTCCTCACGAGAGAGTTCTTAGAAAGGAAATGATCACAGAAGTCTAAATGTGTCACACTTAGAAAGCCCAGTGCCTTCTTAATACAAAATTCCTGGCAAGAACCAGAGTGACGGCTTCATTGTGTGGCCCACCTCCCCTTAACTCCACCTCTCAGAACGCTTCTATAACAGGTGCCAAGTCAGAGCAGGTGAGGTGTATCTGAGGGGAGTGTGAGAGACCGCAGGGTCCCCTCAGACTGCTGCATCCATCTTATTACCTCCTCCTCTCCTTCCTCCTGGTACTGCTCATCAACATTGTCCTCCTGCTGGTCGGGATTTCCTGCCATCTGTTGAAACAAAAGGGGAGGCTCACACAGCTGTCCATCCAGACCCCGAGACAAAAGCAAGCATGCCAGCACATCCAGGGGCACTGGCAACACACCTGTGGTCAGGAAACAGAGAATAACCCAGAGTATCGCTACCCTCTCTCTACGTGCAGGCATGTCATTTCAGAGTGGCTTGATACCACACTGATCTTTTACATAAACTAGCCCTGCACGGAGGCACCCAGGCACCACCCGCAGCACCAGCTTACCCGTAGACGAGCCTCTGTCTCCGCTGTCTCTTCCTTCTGATTGTTCTGCTTGTGCTCTTCATTTTCATCTGGTAAATTTTCTTCTCTCACTTGCTCCGCTTCCTCAAATTCATCTTCCCCTTGATTATTGGGGTCATCTGCTGGGTTTATATCCTCTGCGGCTGCCCTCTGTAAAATTTTAAGCCAAAGTAACCATCACTTCAAAACTAAGGACCATGCTTCATTGCATTTGAAAGGCGGTTCCTTGAAAGGAGCTGAAACCATCCTTCGCTGGGCTGTTCGCATCTCTCCTTACCAAGACTCACTAGAATCAGGCAGCCCAAAGACAAGACATAAGAGATTGCTTTGCCAAGTCAAAGAATCAGAACGAGTATAGCTGTCACTACTTCCCTGATCATACCTTCCACAACAGGGCTCAACACTCCACTAAAGCAAGTAATGGCAGTGCAACTGAGTGAACAGTAAGGAAAAGGAGCTTCCCCATCAATGGACTACCCAGAATCCACCGGATGAGATGGGAGAGTCAGAGGAGCAAATAGTAACTCCCTTCATGATAATACTGATGGTTTCACAAACATCCAATCAAAATTAGCCCCCGACAGGTAAGTAGGCAGATAGTACCTCAAAGGCAAGAAGCTAAGTGTGGAAAAGACCAAAGAGGAAGATCTGAAAAGGAGGCAAGATGAGAAAAGGGATAACTTGGAAGTGCACAGCGATTCTAGTGTGGATCAAATTTTCCTAATAGCAAATAGTACCATGAACCAGACAGATGTGTCCCCTGCAAGAACCAGGAGGTGAGTGGGCCAGTCAGGGGAAGCAGTCACAAACAGGACCCTCTCAAGTAGGTCCCGAGTAGTTCACAGTGACCAATCTCAACAAATGCCCTTCACACAAGTATTGTCAACTTTGGAATTATTTCAACTTTCCACTTAATCTCCCAAAGCACTTCCAAGTAATGGCCGGGCTCAACAAGACCCTGGGTTTAGAACCTGGGGTGCACAGACCTGCTGATGCTCGTCCTGGCTTCCCTGACCTCTTCCTGGTCATCAGTGGTCACCAACGGACATGCCACACAACAGCGAGACCACGGAGTGGGATCTGGTCTCTGTCGGTGTTCTTTGCATGACAAGCTGCTGCCTCACTTCATCCAAGAGTCCCGAGCCATGTTCAGCAGCTCCCCGACGTCTCGGCTAATGTATTACTATCTGCACATCCCAGGATACAGACTAAACTCAAGTGCAAATAATGCTTTTCTTTGGAGTGTAGAAAGTATCCCCTTCACACTGGACCTGAATCGCTCCACGGTCTCTCTTCATAGATTTCCTTTTGTGCATTACCAATAATTTGTATGGAAATAAAGAATGTAATGGGTTCTCTTCAAAAAGCAAGTACCAAATACATTTTGTGAAAGTTTGTTAAAATGGCCACTCGTTTCAGTTCCAAAAGGCACAGCATCATCAGCAGAGAGGAGAGGCACACGATAAGAGGGCACGGTGGAAAAGCCGTGTTTCTTAGTGTGTTCTCCAGAAGACAGACCAGTGCCAGAAATACAAAGGCTCACTCCCTCCAGCTGTGAAAGCCCACAGCAGCTCCCAACCGAAGGTGGCCGGACGGGCGTCCTCACACTCGCCCTTCTGGCCCTCTCTGGGACCTGCCGGCTTCTGCAGTTACTTGTTCTGCATCATGGACACACTCCTGTGCCCCCATGCTCTTGCTAACTCCTGCTCTGTCCCGAAAACCACTCAGGACTAGCTCCTCAGTGCACACATCTGGAGCAGCAACATGGGGAATGTTTTCTGCCTCAGCTTGGGTAAGTTAAGTGGAAAAGCCACTGCCATTAAGAGGGCTCACACAGCTAGCAGGAAGGACTTCCCTGGTAAAGAAAGAAGCACACAGGTCCTCCTTCCAACTGGCGTGATCAACAGGAACAGGGCCCACACGATAGCACAGACTGAAGGTTGTAAACACAGGGGTGATATCTCAGCAAAAGATAATACAAGAGCTAAAACAAACTGCATAATTCATCAACACAAACACAGGGACAAATTCAACCTCTGCTCGCCTGTTTGGGCAGGTTGTGGGGGCAGACAATGATGCTGGTTATTAGATGTCAACGCCACTCGGCATCCCCAGAGCCTGGGAGGGTGACGCAGCATGTGGAAACGTGTGGCCCCCTCTCCAACTCTCAGCTCTGCTTTTCCCCTGTCCTCTTCAGGGCTTGCTTCACTGACCTCGACGCTGTGCCCAGAGCATCCTTGGACCACATCTCATCACACATGGACATCACAATGATTTACAGCTGAACATGTGAGCGGCTTTATGCAAACCACACGACCCATGCTGATCAGACACAGCCGGCGCAGGGGCTGGCCTAGGCCCACGTTCCGACTTCCCTCTTGGCTTGCGCGTGTCTCTGTGAGAGCACACTTACATCTGCCTCAGAGTTGGGGTCCACTTCTCGGGGCGGCTGTGCCCGGGGCTCCTGTCTGGTGCCTGGCTCTCCCTCTGCTTCATCTTGGTGCGGGTTGTCTCTTTCGTAGGCTAGCAAGTCAAAAGGACAGAAATGAGCTCAAAACAAATCAGAAGGCTCTTCCCTTCCAACTGCTGGGCTTTGCCCGCGACCCCATCCCTGCCGCCCCTCCACCCTGGCTTTGATTTTTCAGTGTAGGCTTCGGCTTTTTCAAGAAGGTTACAGCCTCAGCCTAGAGTGTTTGTCTGCAGCGATGATCAGGGCAGAGATGCCACTTCAGCCTCCCAGACCAAACACTGACAGCAGAGGCCACCCCAGTAGGAACAAAAGCCAGAATCTCAACTTTTCTTCAGTAAAGGAAAGCCCAGTGGATGGGCCACTTCTGAAACAATCAGACTGTGTTAACACCGGAGGCGATGGCAAAGGTTCAGAACTTGATCCTGTCACAGAAAGCAAAAGGGAGAACAGCGCCATCTGTTGGACTGCAAGACAAATGCGGCCCGGCAGGGGCTAACACAAGGAGCCCCTGCCACAACAGAGGGGCAGTCACGCTCTGCACTGGCTCACCGACCCTGATGAAAACTAGTCAGAGAAGGAACCTGCAAAGAGAAACACTTTCTACAAGAAGTGAGATAGAAGTAAAAAGGTTGAATATATGGGAAGCATCTAGGCCTCAGAAAACCAAGATAAAGGAGTAGTTACTATCCGGTTTTAGATGCTTCAATGGATTTACTGAACAAACAAGGGAACAAGCGATGCCCTGGTCTTACTGGTAACAGAAGAGCTTCCAGGGCCCCAGGAGGGACATATGTCGAACCATCCGCTTCACTGTTTGGGCCATAAGCGGTCACAAAAAGCTACGGAGGGAGTCAGCGTCCTCATTCTCCTTTCGATTTTTCTGAAAAAGGATCCTCAGCCAAGCAGTAGTGGGGCCAAGGTGGCTGTTACCTTCTCGTTCTACTGTCACAGGCAGCACTATTTGATGACTCACAGACCAGGTGTTTATCACAAATGAAAGCTGCTCCTAACTTCCTTGGAGGGGGAAGAAGGGGAGAAGAACAACTGAAGGCAATAATACAAAGACTTCCAAAGTTAAGAGAATATGTAGAAAATTTCCAAGGGCTTAGGATAATCCATTAGCAGTAAATATTTGGAACAAAGGAGCTTAAATTCAAGGGAAAATATTAGAGAAAAGAGGTCTTATCCCCTGAGCAGTTTTCACTAATCATGGATAGTTTGTGAGAATGAACAAAGCCATGAAACAAGGATGACAGAGAGCTGCCAGGCAAGTCTTCAGGGCCCTGACGCGGGCATGCACACCGGATGGGAACACCACCACACACTGGCACTGCCAGGCAAGTCTTCAGGGCCCTGACTCGAGCATGCACACCGGATGGGAACACCACACACTGGCACACTGGCTCGCTGATCTCGGAGAGCATTACCAAGCAGGCCCATCAACACATCATCTAGGAAGCCTCACCTCCTCCTTCCTCCTCCTGGGCAGCCTGGTCCTCCGCTCCCTGAACGACGTCATTGTCCATGGCCTCATAGTGAGCCTGCGGCCTGCAAGGACACAGACTTCAGGAATTCTGAGACACAAAACTTGACCCACTCTCACAAGCATCAATGATCTTGAAAGAAAGCAATGAACAAGATTCTGCAACTAAAAAAAATATTTTTCAAGTTGTTTAGATTTGTGATTAGGTGTAATCACAAAAAGGAAAGCTTTAAAACCACCACATGCTGCAATAACAAAATGAAATAGAGGAACTCCAAAGCTTGACTTGAAGACCCAAACTATCACTTAGAAACAGACAACAAATATGGATTTTCAACGAAGTATCTGGAATTTAAACCCAACATCAGTAGAAACTGGTGGAGCTGTCTGGCCCAGCTACGAGATGAGCCAAACCAGCCCAACCACTCCCAGCTCCCAGGGCAGCAAGAGAGGGCAGGCTACCGGAGCTGATCCTGGGGCTGCTGTCCACGCTCTTCATGCTGCGCCTGTCTTGGCTGGGCCACTTCTTTGGCAAGGAGCTGCTGCTGCCGCTGGCGCAGTAAGTGCTCCCGCAGCCGCTGCTGGTGCAGGGCCTCTTGGTGCTCCTGTAGCCGCTGCGCCTCCTCCGCCTGCCGGGCCGCCAGCCTTTGCTGCTCCAACTGCTCCTCATACGGGGATCGCAATCTGGTCACAGCCTGGGCTGACGAGGGAACCTGGGGAAGAGAAGCGTCAGCCTGGGCCAGCCCTGGGGTTCAGCACTCCACTTCCCCTGCTAGTCCTTTCTCAGGACAAACTCGGGAGGCAAGACTGGTGTGTTAACGCTGATCGCTCGAGTGGGTGGCAGTTAACCATGATGGCCAACTATTCCTATCTCCTACTTTCTCGGAATCACCCTCAGCTTCTATTTGCAGCTGACTGTCCCAGGGGACTGGCATTGCATCAAGGCCAACTTTCAGGGTGCTCCTGCTCAAAAGCCACAGGGCAAAAGAAGAATGTCCTGCAGTGACCTCCCACAGCTGGGGCCATCTGTTGAGCCAAAGCAGTGGCTGAAGCTTTCTCCAAGAAGCACAGAGCAACGCTAACCAATGCTAGCCACGGACTTGTGTCTATCATGCCCAGGCTCTGCCCAGCCCTACCAGCCTCCAAGGCCATCCAGAAGCATGTCGATGGAAGGGCAGGGAAAGTTGTCTCCAAAGAAATTAAGCCTGGGTGAGAATGATACAGCTTCTGATTAAAGGCAAATCTAACACAGTTCTTCAAACTGCTTCCCATTAAGGCCTCTCCCAGAAGCACACACCGTCCTCATCAAAGCAGAGGGGAATTCAACCTGCCGAGGAGGGATGTAAGACCTGAAGAGCTACTCCAGGCTGTTTACAACACCTGAGATGGTGCTTACACAAGGCCTCACACCAGCCACCTGCCGTCTCAAGCAGCTCCAAAGGAACAGCTGAGGTCAAAGTGCATATGCGTAACCTGGTGCTTACATCCACCTGGCTCCTCCTTCAGAGTACCAGGGTTTGATATCTGTCCTAGCTCTTGAACAGCCTCCTATTAGTGCATAGCCTGGGCAGGCCTGGTTCCAGGGTGTGGCAAGTTAAGAAGTTTCCTACAAAGCCAGTATTCCACATCAGTACCAGTTCAAGTCCCGGCTGCTCAACTTCCAATCCAGCTCCTGGCTAAATGGCCAGCAAAAAGCCATGGGAGATGGCCTAAGTACCTGGGCCCCTGCACCCCCATTGGATACCCAGATGAAGCTCTTGGTTCCAGCTCCCAGCTTTGGCCTGGTCCAACCTTGACCACTGTGTCCATCCAGGGAGTGAATCAGCTGGTGGAACTGTCTCTCCTTCTCTCTAACTCTGCTTTTCAAGTAAATATATAAATATTTTCTTTCTTTTTACAAAAGCACAACCCAGGCTGCCATGATGGTGCTCCGGTGCCTGCATTCCTGCTACCGGGGGAGACCTGGAATCACTTCCCAGCTTGAGCTTTTGCGAAATGAACAACAGCTGTTTCTCTTGGTTTCTCTCTCAGGCAAGGAAGTAAAATTAAAGTAAAATAATGTGTGACAATCAATTTTCTATTTAACATTTGTTTCTATTTGCAAGAATTAGAGAGGAGAGACAGAGAGGTCCTCCATCTGCTGGTTCACTCCCCAAATGGCCTCAACAACTAGAGCTGAGCTGATCCAAGGCCAGAAGCCAGGAGCTGTCTCAGGGTCTCCAACAGGAGTGCAGGGGCACAAAGACTAGAGTCCTGCTCCACTGCTTTCTGCCATAAGCAGGAAGCTGAACTGGTAATGGGGCAGCCAGGACTGGAACCAGCACACATTTGGGAGGCCAGCAGCACAGACAGCAGTTTAGCGTACTATGCCACCACACCCGGCCTGACAATCAATTTAAAACAAGAAAATCTAAAGCCAAGAAAATAGTCCAAGGTATAAGTAGCAGGTAACCAACACCCACGTGAAGGTAAAGAGATTTTTTTCCTTGAATCTCACCTGAAAAAGAACTGGCTATACTTGATGTTGGTTTAAGTTCTTTTAAAGTATTGATTATACAAATGATGGCTTTCTCAAGAAATTTTTAAAAATCTATGTTTTTGAAGTGTTTACAATATATAGCATTTTGACACCAGGCAGAATGTTCCTAAGACAAAAGATCCCATTGAAGGTGAACATGCCACAACTCACACATTAGTGGGTAGTCAACAGGTGGAGAAGGGGCCCTTGAACCCAGAAATGGTGCCTTCCTCCCACTGCAGTGCTCAGCGGGCAGGTGGCCACTAGGGAGGTGTCCAGTCAGTGCTCAGCCCATCTGGGGTGTCAGGTGTCCATGCATGCCTGACCAAGGGGAGAAGACCTAGTTCCCCAGCACCGCTTCCTCTGAGATTGGCAAGGAGCCATGCTAGGAACATGACAAAGGGGAAACTGTGTGTCTGTTAGACATCATGACAGATGTGGAGGGAGGCGGTATGTTCAGCTAATTCGCACAGAACCGCACTCCCCATTCGCAGACACCTGCAGTGGGGCCCTTACCTGAGCGGCATGCCTCTCCTGAAGGCCGGCAGCCACCTGCTCCCTTCGCTGTTCTCGCCACTCCTGGCCCTGCTCCTCAGGGGACGGGTCATGCTCCTCCTCCAGGCGCTCCGCCTGCCCAACCTGCTCCATTTCCTCCTCCGCCAGGGCTTTCCGGTGCTCCTCTTCTGCCCGATGCTCCTCAGCTTCTCTCGGGTCCACTTCCTGCCGGTTTGGGCCAGCAGGAGCCTGACCCTCCGCCTCCTTCTTGGTGGGAGGAATGGAACCTGTGTCTTCTATTCTTCCAGGAACAACTCCATGCTTCTGCCACATAGTGTTATGTTGAGACCCCTAGGCCAAGCACACCGACAGCAATGACACTTTTATTTCAGAAGTGCTGTCATTTCTTTATCACCATATCTTGGGTGCTACAGCATCTGCTGAATTTCAGCATCTGCTAGCATTTGGAGCGACCAGTGTTGCAGTTCCGCAGGCTACACTGCCAGCTATAATGCTGGCATCTCACATGCGTGACAGTTCAAACTCTGCAGCTCCACTTTGGATCCAGCTTCCAGCTAATGCAGCTGAGAATACAATGAAAGATGAGCCCTGCAGCCATGGGGGAGACCTGGATGGAAATCCAGTCTCCTGGCTTTGGGCTCGTCCCACCCTGGCCATTGCAGCCATCTGGGAAGTGCACTTGATAGGAGACCTCTCTCACCACCCCCCTCATCTTTCTCACTCTGTCTCTTCTCTCCCCCCATATCCCTGCCTCCCGAATAAATACATGTAATTTTTTTTTACAATTATGGAAACAATAGAGTCCTGATTTTAAGATATTGTTGCAGGACCTGGTGTGGTAGCCTAGTGGCTAACGTCCTCGCCTTGCACATGCCAGAATCCCATAGGGGCGCAGGTTCTAATTCCAGCAGCCCTGATTCCCATCCAATTCCTGGCCTGTGGCCTGAGAAAGCAGTAGAGGATGGCCCAAAGACTTGGGACCCTGCACCTGCATGGGAGACCAGGAAGAGGCTCCAGGCTCCTGGCTCCTGGCTTCAGATCAGCTCAGCTCCATCTGTTGCAGTCACTTAGGCAATGAATTATCGGACAGAAGATCTTCCTGTCTCCCCTCCTCTCTGTATACCTGACTTTGCAATAAAAATAAATAAATCTTTTAAAAAGATATTATTGCAATAGAATCACTTAGTTCTTGTCATTATGTAAGCTTGCCTCTAAAATAGTGTGAATATAAGCAAAATTTCATATTACAAAAAATTTCAGGAATGGGCATTTAGCCTAGAAATCCCATTGCCTCCAGCCCACACTGGAGTGCAATCCTGGCTCTGGGTCCCTGGCTCTAGGCTCCTAGCAGCGTGCCACCTGGAGGCAATAGTAATGACACCAGTAATGGGGCTCTTGCCGCTGATGGGGGACCCACAGGGAGCTCCCAGGCCATTCCTGTCCTGCCACTGGAGGCAGGTACAGAGTAATGGGGCTCCTGCCACTGATGGGGGACCCAGAGGGAGTTCCCAGGCCATTCCTGCCCTGCCATTGGAGGCAGGTAGAGTAATGGGGCTCCTGCCGCTGATGGGAGACCCAGAGGGAGCTCCCAGGCCATTCCCGCCCTGCCACTGGAGGCAGGCACAGAGTGAACAAGCACACAGACCTCACTTCCCTCTCAAATTCGTATTTAAAAAAGAACTCAGTTAAATAACCCAGAAAAGTAAAGCTCAGAAGTGAATCCAGCTCCAGAGCATTCTAAACTCTATTTTCTCTTAGAATAAAAAGGAAAAAACCCTCAGACTTCCAGTGACAAAATATTCACATAATTTTCTTTAAAGTGAATTTTGTTTCGATGGATACCCAGAAAACTCAAATGGAGGAGGAACTGGTTAATTTCTATCAGCTGGACTTAATATAATTTTTAAAAAGAATGCCATTACTGACAAATACATTAGTTGAAAACAGTACCCATTAAGCAAAATGTAATAAAATGATTGCCATGTGTTACACTGGAGCTTCTTTGTACACCACAGGGTTTTTTTTAAGATTTATTTTATTTTTATTGCAAAGTCAGATATACAGAGAAGAGGAGAGACAGAGGAAGATCTTCCGTCTGATGATTCACTCCCCAATGCAATGGATGCAACGGCAGGTGCTGCGCTGATCCAAAGCCAGGAGCCAGGAACCAGGAACCTCCTCCAGGTCTCCTACACATGTGCAGAGTCGCAAGGCTTTGGGCCATCCTCAACTGCTTTCCCAGGCCACAAGCAGGGAGCTGGATGAGAAGTGGAGCCGCCAGGACTAGAACTGGCATCCATATGGGATTCTGGCATGTTCAGGAGAAGGACTTTAGCTGCTAGGCCACCACGCCAGGCCTGTACACCACAGTTTTTACAAAGTTTGCACTGTCAATACAGATAGCTCTGTACAGAAGAGCCCTCGACGCCGGGCTGAGCCAAGGCTGTCTGCCTGCAGGTCTCAGTGGTCTCTATGTGATCTGCACTGCTCCAGAAAGTGGGGGAAGGCAGATGGCCGACAGGAGAAGCTGGGCCTGTTCCCCCTTAACCTTCTTTACCAGAAGAAACAAACAGTGTGAAGGCTTCTTTAGTTAGGACACTCTCCTGAAATGAAGATAAAACAGAAGCCCTCCTCTGGCATTAACAGAGATGCTAATCATCAAATACATGCACCTGGACTGCGTATCAACGACGGACACCTGAGGACAACTTGGAGCGATGTACGTTTTAGCGATGTCCACAGCCTTTGGCAAGTGGGACGGGACAGCTACCGTTCACCTGCCACCGTGTCCCCGAGAGGGAAGCTGCGACAGGTACCTTTTATAACTAACCTGATTTCAGAAACAGCTTTGTAAGAACTAGTGATGAGGGGACATCTCTTCTGTCCCACATTTGGCAGGCCGGACTTTATGAAGGAGAGCAGAGGCATGCTTCATGAGAGTGACGCTCAGACTGGCTGCTAACAGTGGTGCTGTGACGGAAACGCTGCCATGTGCTAAGTGCAGCTGGTGCTGTACCAAGTGCAGCGGCCATGACAAATGCCGACACTGGAGGGCACTGCCTGCCACATGCTACCCTCATCAACAACACACCTTCCCACTCCATCAAACATCTCAAACAGCCAGCCTTCAAACACTCCGATGCCACAGCTCCTTCAAGACGAGCCCCTGGCAGAACTGCCGCTCAGGAAGGTCTCTCCCAGAGGATACCACAGCAATCACTCTCAAAATGCGCTCCCAAACAAGCTGCATCCTTTAAAAATGCAAGGCCTTGGTCTCTCCTTGAACTGAGGGAATCAGAGGCTCAGGAGCCAGGACCCAGCAGCTACCAAGTCCCCCGAGGGTTCTGACCCACACTGCCATCTGAGAAGCCCTGTTCTCTGTGTGGAGACTGTGCAGCCCTGGGGGCACTGGGCCCCTTGGACAGGGCACATGGCCAGCGCCTGCCTCTTACCTGCCGTGGCTCTGAGGTCGGCTTCTCTCTAGCTGCCTGGTGGCCTGGCTGAGAACGGCCCGCCTGGGTAGGGCTCACGTTCTGCGCTTCTGCTGGCTCAGGCTTTCGGAAGCTTGGAATCCTATTCAGAGTGTCTTTCAGCTGTTTGTATTCGGCCACTTGAGTCTGCGGGTCAATTGTACAATTGGATGCAAATCGCACAATTTGAGGAGGGAAGAAAGGTATCATCCATAAATAGGCATTGGTGTTCTCGGCAAGGACACCACGCCAAAATACAAGTTAGGAAAATACGCAGGTCGTCTCCATACATCGGCTATTCCCATTTCTGAGCACATGCAGATTAGGATTAGCATTAAAGGCAACAGAAAACAGATCTGAAACAAGGTTAGCTTCCATGCAAAGTAAACACAGGCCTTCTCTGCACATCACCAAAAAGCTGCTGTGGCATCACTGTTTCATCTCACTAAAAAACTGACGCCTCAGTTCACACAATTACACAGTTAAGTTCAAACCTGAATTACCAACAGGGTTGGGGCAGTATTTTCCAGTGGAAAGAACCCAAAGGTTTAGAAGGAGATTGTGTGTGTAAGTATGTATATATATGACATTACTAGCAGCTGTGCTTTCCCCCAGCAGCCGTGTCCCCTGCCTGTCACAGTGCTTCTTGACTCGGGCTCAGTGGGTTTTTGGTAAAGCTGTAACACAGGCATGAAGCCAGGACAGAATCTTATTCCTCGGTTTTGAATATCCTTTTCTTCTAAACTGACAAAGGCACTAAAGTTTTCTCACCAGAATGTTTCTGTGTATATACAATGTACATGTATGCCTGTAACACTTTAAGACACCAAGAAGGCACAGACTCCTTAGAGATGGTGCACACACATCAGCATATACACACCTGAAGGCGGGGAGGCTGTACGCAAGCACACACTTCTAAGGCCATCCAAAAAGCACTGACCCTTTCTCTCGGCACGCTCGTCCCTCCCTGCGGTGAGTGGAGCTGGAACGGGCCAGCCCTGCCACACTGCTCTTCCGCCTCCAGGAACACCGACCCTTTGCATTCAATCACACAGAGGTAAAGATGTCGGCTTACTAAATCTGTCCCAGGACAGAGTCTTTGTGTAGTTTGTACAACGTATACTACACAGCTAGCAGAGGCTCTTGCCTCAGAAATCTAAGTACACATGGAAACAACTTTGTAGGTTATAGAAAAACCCGAGAGCCATACAGTCCTTCACTACTTGAAATACACAAAGCCCAGTCCTGCTCTCCTTACTTCTTTCTCTTCCGAGATTCTTCATCTTTCAATGCATTGAGGACGTGGTTCTCAGATACCAACATACATTCAGGCCATGTTGATGATGTGGCTCCCAGGCACCCACTGCGGAAATCACGATTCAGGAAGTGTGAGGACAGGCCCGGATGACCGCGATGAGGCCAGGTCTCCAGGGGCCAGGACTGTGGCGTCTCAGGCAAAGCTGCCACTTGTGGTGCCAGTGTCCTGGCTGCTCCACTCTAGTGTTCATGGGCACCAGTGGAAGATGACCTACGGTTTTTGGTCACTGAACCCGGATAAAGCTCCTGGATTGAATTGGTCCATCTCTAGCAGTTATGGCCATATGGGTAGGAAGTAAATCAGTGGAAGGATCTGTGTGTGTGTGTGCATGTACAACTGTCTTTCAAGCAAATAAATATATCTTCTAAACAAATCTAATAAGAACTGACTCCTGAGGAGTTCATGTGACTCTCAAGTCTGAACTTGAAAATGGGTTCTGATCACTGTTCTGGGGTGGAGTGAATAATCTGACCTCTCTCTCCATCTCCATTTTGTTTAGAGCAAGGGTGCAATGTTGCAGAACTCACTAAATGACAAATCAAATAAAACCATCAACTACATTTAACATCAGGTTGCCATGCCAGAATCTGGGGCAATGATTTGCAGGAAACAATGTTTGTCTCTCAGGCAATTTGGGGAGTTTGCTAATGGTGTTCTGGATCGAATGCTGTAACTTTCCCAAATCTAGAAGCTGGCTACCAAACCTACACCCAACACGGCAGTGGTAACAGCTGGAGTTCCTGAGGAGTCACCATGTCACAGGGTGGAGCTTTCACGGGTGGACTAACAGGAGCTCTCTCTGGGGGGGGGGGACACAGGTTGTGAGCAGTCATCATCAGAGCTACATGTACTGAGAACCTGAGCTTGACAAGGAAAAATGCACTCTCGTTCAGGAAGAGAGGATTGGAGCACATTATTTAGAACTCTTGCATCCCATGCCTGAGTGCCCGGATTCAAGTTCTGAACCACTCCTGATAACAGCTTCCTTTTGACAAGCTCACTGGAGGCAGCAAGCAATGACGTGAGGACTCAGATCCCTGCCATCCACAGAGAGGACCGGGACCAAGTGCCTGGCTCCTGGCTCAGCCTGGCCAATCCCTGGCCACTTGAGACATCAGTAAATGCGAGTTCTCTGGTTCCTCTTTGTCTCTGCCTTTCACATAAAAAAAGTTAAATCTAAAAACATCATAAATATATAAGAATAATTCTTAGTATATAAACCACCTGGTTTGTGTTATTTTGTTGCAGCAGCCCAAACTAAGACACATGATTCTAGTTAAATATTGTACCTAATCCTGGTAAAACAGTTTAAAAGAGAAAAAAGGCAGAACAATCTTTGAGGACGTACACATAGGCTGCATGAAAAAAAATTTTACAACAAAATTCTTCTATCAGTACTATGGCCCACAGGCCTGCTAGAAAATTAGGTTTGGATTGAACTATTTCGCTTATATTGATAGACTTTCCAATGGTCACTTAGTCTCACATTTTAGCACTGTCGCAGAGTATTCAAACCCTTTTGTCACAACATACAGCATGAAGCACAGCCTTACATAAAACAACACTTGCCAAGTTTGCTAAAATTTGGAATTAATAATAATCTTCTCTAAAGTCAATTTATACCTAAGAGGGAAAACAAGCTACAGCTTAGGAGGGAGATACATATGGATGACTCTTGGAAGGGAGTCCCACAAACAGAAGTCACAGCCCCCAGAGAAGGGTCAGCAACGATACCTTGGTCTTCCTGATGAACAAAGGCACATGGTGTCCCTTCATTCTTTTCTCACAATCTCCCCAAAAAAGCAGGAAGTACATATTTCCGAGGGCCTGCCCTGCGCCGGGGCTCTGCCAGGCTACCAACAAATGAAAATCACAACCCATCTGTGTCCTCGTTTACTGATTTTTCTTCTATTCTGTCCTTGGCCAGCAGCACAGAAGCCTAGTCCTAGGAGAACTGTGTTGAGGTATAAGACAGGTGCCGGGTGGGAATAAGAGATGAAGAACAAGTCTGGCCATAATTTCTGTGGGTAGTTAGCACCACAGACTTCACAGATCCTCCACCAATACTTGATATATCTATCATACAGTTGAAAAAGGTTCTATGTGTCAAGTAATTTCTGTGATTCAAGCAAGTGTTATATCATCATCTACTGAGACTGGGATAAGGTGGAGATAGCTGTATGTACCTCAGAACGAGCCAAAGCTGACTGAATGGTTTCTTGACTAAAATTTAAAAGCATGCATAGCCCTTAGTTTAAGAGAGCTTTCTGGAAGTGATTTTCTGAAGACTGGCTTGAGAGACCCCATGCACAGAGAGTTTAGCAATGTTAGGCAGACTTTGCAAAGAACCAAGAGGCTGCCACTGTTCCAACCTGTGCGGCAGCCAGTGCGCTCCTGTGGTCCTCCAGCGTCACTACCAGCTGCTCATGGGCCGAGAGTAAGTTCTTATGCTGCTGCTACATGAGAAAACAAGCGTACAGGTTGAGCTTTACCATTATGTGATAAACTCTGCTTTGGTAAATGACCACCTCAATGATACCTGCTTGTCTACTGTAACATTTAATACATTTAAAAACCCCTGTGGTAAGCCAGCTGATTTAGGTGAGCCCACGAGCCAGACAAATCATAACCATTACAATGAAGCAAACCCAAAAGGGACAAATCTCACTAGATCGAGAAACCTTTGTATGTGCAAAGTTTTTACAAATGCATTCGCCTGGAAACGGAAACCCTTGGATTTTCAGATCACCTTTATCTGTGGATGTCAGTGTGAGAAAGGAAGCAGGTCCACTCCAGCGGATGCACATCCACACTAACAACCCCGACTGGCCAAGCACGTCGACCAGGGAGAGACCTCCCAGTCAGCTGGAGAGCAGAGCACGGTCTCCGAGCAGCCGCACGCTCACGGGGCTTACCTTGACGTCCTGAAGCTGTGTGTGTATGTCCTGGTGTGCCTTCCTCAGCTGCCTGTTCTCTTCTCTCAAATTGTACACCGTTTCTGTATTGGAAACAGGAAGCCACACAGAAAGGTCTCAGGGATTGGGATTCAGCTATTTTCACACCTAAAGACACACATAACTTTTTTTTTAAGCTGTTGTTTTGAATCTGACAGTGTAGTATTCCAAATCACCAAAAATCGTATCTTTTTGGATAAGGCTTAGATTTGGCTGGACATCTCAATACAAACCGGCTCAGTCACTTACACACTTATGAACAAGCTATGCATGTTTGACAAAAGGCAAGGCTATTCCACTCAGAAGTCAAAAATCAAACATTTCTGTCAAGAGGCAGGTCCATACAACTAAACATAATGGCTGGGTGGTTTCAGGTGACACCCTGTTTCTCACAGAATGAGCAATGCTGACAGCCCCTGAAGGTACTGCTTCCACAAAGGCAATTCAAGGAAAAGGAGACAGTGCGAACCCAACTTACCTGTTGAAAGATTCTAATAATCTTTTTCTTTCTTTCTGCCACCACTGAATGCTTGATTAGTCCTAATTCTACAATGTGAGCCAGCTGCAGTCAACATGAAGTTCTACAATTTCCCCCGCAAGCCCTGCTAATCACGAAAACGCCAGAGAGCCTCTGACCAATGTCATAGTTTTCCCATATTCCCTGCATCTTTAAAAAATATCGAATTTTTAAAAATTATTTTACTTGAAAAGCAGAGTAACAGAAGCAGAGAGGAAGGGAAATTGAGAACCTGTGGGCAGGAGAGATCTTCCATCGAGAGTTCACTCCCCAAGTGACCACAACAGCCAGAGCTGGGCCAGTCTGAAGTCAGGTCTCCCACGTGGGTGCAGGCTCCCAAGGCTTTGGGCCATCCTCCAGCACTTTCCAAGGCCACAAACAGTGAGCTATTTCAGAAGTGGAGCAGCCAGGACTCAAACTGGTGCCCATAGGAGAGGGCAGCACCACAGGTAGAGGATTAGCCTATACTATGCCCCAGTACCAGACCCTAGATATCGGATTTTTTTTTTTTGAACTGGTAGCTCTTTGTGGCTAAATGTAACACACACGTTTTGGGGTTTTGTTTGTTTGTTTTTTGGTTGGGGGGGGCGAGTGAGGAGGGGAACTAGTTATGTTGGCCTAAACAGAGTCTTCCATAATTGAATGGTGATCACCATTTAAACAGCTTGCATTAAATAGATTCGACAATAGGCCAATTTGCATGCAACAATACTCTCCACAGTAGAGTGGTGAGAGTAGCACGCCATTTCCCAGTGGGATACATCTGCAAGCGGATAGGACGCTACCGAGAGCTTTTCTGGGATGACAGGTGTACACCTGCACTAAGGGCATCCATCCGCAGACAGCACCCGAGCCTGCTGCATCACAGCCTACCACTCCACGTCACACTCAACACTGAAGGAAACTGTTCGTCACCATCTTTCATGTCCTTCACAGTCCTTATGCAACTCCTGGACATTGGCCGTCTAAGTGGACTTGGAGGACAGATTAGGACAAAGATGGAAATGTGTGGCTGTGCTGTCCACCTCCAGGTACTAACTGTTTTCCCAGAGGGTTAGAACAGGACACACCAGGAGGACCTGAAGCGTCGGTGCTGGAAGTGGCTGTGCTCTCACACGCATGCACTTGAAGCATCCACCTGTGGTAAGTAAGGGAACTCCGGGAACAGTCATGCCATCCGTGCCTCAGCTGGCTTCAGGCACGCTCCTTAACTTTGGGAGGTCTCAACTTCTTCATTTGTTAAATGATGCTAAATATAACATCGACCTATTAATAGAGAATTAAATACAACAATACATCTAAGCAGTTTCACCTGGTACTGACACATGGCCAACATCTGCCAAGTGTCAGCTATTTTGGGGATGACAATCAGCAGCAACCACCTAGGCCCACATGTCCAGCTCTCCACACCAGGCATTTTAAATCCTCTCCTTGCACTGTGGGAAGCAGCCAAGAACTATGGAGACTCTACACCTTGGTTAGCCACTGCTGAGCTGCATCAGTCACGAAACACTCTCACTCAGTACTTGATCAAAAGTGCTGACCAAGTGTCAGAAACATTGTCCAGATGCTGCTGCTTCCGGTCTCGCTGCGTAACTGCTTCCACTGTGTTTCTCTCTTTCTGCCCTGCTGAATTTTTTGGTGAGAAGGATCCTACAATTTACCAGGTCTGGTTCTAACCTGGGTGTTATTGGTAAGTTCAAACCAGGTGATAAGATTTGAACTACGTATGCCCTCTTATCTTCCATGGTTCTGACTTCTGCTATGCATAATTTCCTAAACTTTTACTATATATCACTTGGAAATAGAAAGTGCTAGAGCAGACACAACAAAACATGCTCTTTGGGGATATTGTTAACATGCATGAAGTACAGATATGGCACCTAGAAAACTGCATTTCTCACTCCTTAATAAATCCACTTCTTTTCCATATACTTGAGTGTACTTATTCAGCTCAGCACTGCTAAGCTACATATACTGTAAGCCAAAAGGCTTGTCCCTCGCCAGACACTGGTGTAGCTCTCCAGGTAGGGCAAGCACTGTCTCACCCTGGAAGCACCTTCTTTCAAACTTCTGTGAGGATTTCTGGTGTTGCAAAGTGTCTTCCATCCTCTGTGTTGTTACGACCACCAGCACTCAGCAACACACCCAGGACTCCACACGTTTCACTACGGACATCTGACCCAGCTCTGCCTAGAGCACCTTCACCCTTTGCAGTATTTCTTTGGTGACAACTGAACTTTGTACCGTTTCCTAACTTGTTTTTAAATATTTACAAAATATTTCAACAGCAACACTAAAGTCAGAGGTCCTGCACATGGCACCTGATCCTTGATAAGGATGGCACCTTATCAAACTGTTGCCACAGGGCAACTGACCAGACCATAGACTTGTTTTCACAAGTACCATGTAGATTTTATGACTGACTTTCACACTTCAAACTTACTTAGCACTTACACGTTTGCTCAGAGAAAACTCTGGTTTCCAGAACTTAAAAGAACTCAGAGAAGAGATCTATATTTGTTTCCCACTGCTGAGGAAACGCCTGGCATTGACGCTCACAGCAGGCTGCAGTCCACATGTCACTAATCCTTCTAAATTCTTCGTAGATCTCGTCTGTGCCTCACACCGCTGAATGAAGTCGGTATTTCCCCAAAATTATTCTAGTTTCACAGAGAACAATGCTGTGTGGTGAGCACACGTCTTGCGCAGCGTCACAGGGCAAGGAGCTGCCCAAGTCAGGACTGATGCCAGCAGTCTAAATCTATACCGCGGGGACAGTCAGTGGTTCAGTCCTCTGCCTGGTGCGGACTGAGGCCAGTGTGACAGTGCAGCTGGTAAATCATCTGACTGCAGCACTGACACCCCGTATGGGTGCTGGTCTGAGTCCTGCCTGCTCCACTTCTGATCCAGCTCTCTGCTTAATGCACTGGAGGACAGCCCAATGCCATGAGACCCTACACTCATGTGGGAGACCCGAAAGAAGCTTCTGGCTCCTGGCTTCAGATCAGCTCAGCTCTGGCTGTTGCAGCCATTTGGCTAAAAATCAGAAGATGGAAGATCTCTCTTTCTCTCTCTCCCTCCGTCTTCTTCTGTCTGTGTCACTCTGTATTTCAAATAAAAATAACCGTTTAAGAAATGCGTGGAACAAGTTTTGATTGTGACAACAGAGGAAAACCAATGATGTCTACTGAATGCATTCAACGATGTTAAGTGTGCAACCACACACAAGAGAAGATATAATGGAACACACGAGGCATTCTGTTCTGCTTCACTAAGCAAACCCAAAGAGCTGAGGATACTTATGGAATGTTACCAAGAAGTAACCGTCACAGCATTAAGCCAAACACCAGACAAAAGTAAAGTCTGTCCTACTGAAACACTGCATGAGTTCTCAGTCTGCTAGCGCTTCAAATACCTTTCAGTTTAGAAAGTTCTTGTTCCTTCTCTTGCTGAAGCTGCAAGTATTTCTGCTTGTGGTCATTGAATGTTCTGCTGAAGTCTTCCCCTTGCCTGCGATGTTCCTCTTCCAGGTCGCTGTGCTGTTTCTTCAGCTCCTCGTGTTGGCTCTGCACAGGGAAACACTTGAGATGAAACACACACTCTAAACTATGCAAAACCATGCCTCACTGGAGCAAAGCCTTTCTCTTCTGAGAAACACAAGGGCACATGAAGAAGCAGGCTTTGCTTCCCTTGAGCTGCTATTTCATGTGGGCAGCCTCCCTGCATTTCACTCTTATTTAAATGAATAATTTGAGATCATGGACAAAAAATAATGCCCCCCTTAATTTTTTCCACCAAAAGTAATAAGTTTTAATGGGAGATGGAAAAGGGGAGCATTTAGGAAGATTCCCAGGGACTCTAATTTCCATGGAAGCAAGGTAAAACTAATGATTAAAATTATCTATTGCACTTGCTCCTGCAATGCACACTTCCCCAGCACCACGTAACTATCTCATGGTATCCAGGGAAGACTGCTTCCATTGTCCATCTTGGATATCAAAATCCACTGATACACAAAGCTGCTATATAAGATGGTAGCAGTTATCTGCTACAGATAACTGTTGTACATCATTGGGAATACTTAATTCACATGAAAATACTTGTAACATCATACAATGTAAGTGCTGGCTTTGCAGGTATCTTTGTGAACTACATCACAATTCTCCCTTCCTCAAATATTTTCAACTCAAGGCTGCTTAAATATGCACACAGGGAACCTGCACACACAGAGGTTGATCATATTTTATTTTTCTTCTTTAGTTTTTCAGCCATCCTAATAGCAAACTTTGAAGACAATAGAAGGCTGCCTCCTCTTAAGCAGAAACAGTATGCTGATTGTAGAACTGATTCTTATTTACTCTGTTTCATACAATCTTACACTGTAATCATGCAAATGCTGAATGTGAAAGTTCTGCTTTAATTCATGCACTGCACTGTTGGTAACAGGGAGGGTTTGGATAAAAAGCACATGGTCTGATCCAAGATGCTGGGGGTTTGGCATGCAGTGGACAGCATGACACGGTGAGCGTGAGCAGGCTGCTCATCTTGTCCATATGGCAGAGACAACATCTCTGTCCTCGCTCTGGTCTTCCTGACACACAATAATGGGTTTTCTCAAGGAACAAGGAAGGAAACTATAAATAATATATTGTTATCCCTACAGTAGGCAAAAGAACATTTTTCAATAAAAGCAACTGATCACTACAGTCTCCAGTCTGTCTAAGAGAAAGGAAAAGCCACGGTAAGAAACAAGAAAAAAAATTATAAAAGCAGTTGAGCATGGAGCATATGTAAAATGTGCTTAATATAATAAATATGGGTTTTTTTCATAATCAGACAGTAACTATGGTGGAGCATTATATTTCTAGACAAATATAATTTTACCATGTTATAACACAAGTCAAGTCTGTGGATTTTTGATTATTTTAAAAACCACCAATCATTCAAGTATTAATGTTTTTCGAGAAGAATAACTTCACTCACTTTCAGCATTTGATGTTGTACACTCAACGCACTGTATCTGCTGTTGGAATCTTGCTGTAAGTTAAAAAAAAAAAAAGGTGAAAGATTTATACGATCTGAAGAGAAACCAGAGTACATTTGCTGTAAATAAATAAACAAGTCAACACCAAGATAATCAATCTAGTCTCTTGCTATACACAACTTAGAGCTCTTAATATAGTTCTCTGCCTTGTGATTTATTTCTTATACAACCTCAGATAAATTGTATGCTTGTTCTAGGGTGTCTCGGGGCCATCTCTCTATTTAATTTCAGAAGCAAACTTTTAACATTCCCATCAGTGTGCTGTATTTTTTACGATGAAAATGAGAAATATGCAATCCTACAATGATAGCTTGACAAAGTCCTAGGTGATATCTTAGTTTCACCTCTTACTATCAGAAGAACTAAGACCCAGACATGAGAAGGACCTTGTCCTGTAATAGCCAATGGATGTGACTAATTCACCGAGGCAAGCACCAACCATATGGTAAGCACATGCAGGGTTTAAAAAGGCAAATTAAGGCTTTCCTCCTAGGGTATTTTCATAATAAAAAAAAGAAAAATGAACCTCAGGTCCACAGACTTAGTGGCCATCTGAGAAAGGCCTTGGTCACTCTGCATCCTTTCCCTCCATGGTTCATCAACATAAATCAAGAACAAAACAGAACAAACTTACCCTTCCTTTATTTAGGGTTTCTTGTGCTTCTAACTTATAAACAAGAAAATCTAGGACAAACATAATACAGTGTGAATTAATTCATGTTGACATTCTAAGAGAATAAAGGCAAACTTTACTTAAAACATGCAATAGTGTTTTTATCTTTCTGGTTATTCCTATACTTCATTTTGCTTCTCAATGTTTTAGAAAGAACTGAAATAAAATAGCCATCCCTCTATCTTAAAGCTGTGTATCTTGCATCAACAAAATCTGCACTCTATGGAACTGGCTCAAAGTGCATGGAGAGCATGTCTGTGCTCAAGTGCACAGAAGGATGATGTACTGCTCTCCACTAGATGGCACGCACCACTCCTTCAGGGCCTGCGAAGGGAACTCACTGGGTCCCAGCCATCTGCAACGCTCTGCAAACTTTATTACCCACTAGATGGCTCCATAAAATCACTCTGCATCTGAAGAAGATGGAAATTCAAATCCTCTGAAGCGTTTTACTGGGACTGACTGGTGTTCTCGAGAGAGGCTCCAGGTATGAAGCAATAAACCCCCTCCCTGCCTGGCACACGAACCTCTCCTGCTGCCCTCCCAGACCTGCGCCAAGACACAGGAACACCAGACTTGAACTCCCAGGTCTATCACTATATACAAATAAAACAGAAAACTTCTCTTCACACAGTGGGTAACACCGGTTACTTGCAGAAAATGTCTGAGAAAATTCAATCAGTGCCTAATATAGGCACTAAATGTTCATTTTTCAAACCAAATGAGTAATTTGTGCCAATAAAAGCTTTCATGAGAAATGAAGAGGTGAATAACTCAAAAACACCAAACAATGCAGACAGCTCATTACTGTCTGAATGTGTGTGCATGTGTGGACACGCACCGTTTTCTGGTCTCAGGGCTGTTGGTCTTTATTCCATTCCTTGTTCCTGAATATCTTTGAATAGATATTCAGTAGTAGAGCTGTGTCATATTTCAATTAAAAAATGCATTATTTTTGAAGTAATCTATATGTACTGCCCAGGATATGGTCTACCTCAAGATGGCAGCAACTGACCCAAGAGTGCAATGCCAGTCTTGATCAGAAGTATAGTGCCTGTCTGTTGCCTGGCAGGTGTTTCTCCAGCCAGTTTACCACATTGACTTGGGATTGATTTGAGAAGTAATTTGGCCCAAAACAAAAGTATATATATATATATGGCAAAGCAACTGTAACACAAGAGTTCAAAGAAGAGTGAGGAAACAAGGACACAAAGGGCATGCTTTATTTACCTTCTTTGGCTTTCTTATGTTCAAGTCTTTCCTTTTGCAGTGATTTTTCTAATCTTGATCTGTGTTCATACACAACTGGAAAAAAAAATTAAATTTATCTTGAACAAGCTAGAAATCCTGAAGTAAGATTGGCATTGATCTCTGCCACAGAAACAAGGCACGGTAGGACCTTTATTGTGATATGTAATGAAAATAAAGACCAACACATTGTAAGTTCCACATCTTAAATCAAGACAAGACCTGTGGGAGGGCAGAGTTCCGAGCTGACTGTTGCACAGCCTGCCCTATGTTACGGCTAATGCTCTGACCCAACTTCCGTTTTTACAGACAGCTGCCTTTCCTTCCCTAACCCCGGGGAAACACAACGTTGTCTGTAAAGTCCACCACCTTTCTTGGGTAATTTCACCCACTCTTCTGACTTTAACCCAGTACTTACCACCACATTTGCATTCTCACTCCTTGCTTCTCTCTAGTTACAAATGAATTCTCCACCTATACACCCCCTGTAAGTACTACAAAGTCAAGGTCATCTGCTTCTGAATTAAGGCTGCTGGACCAGAAGGCAAGGACAGCTGCACACCGCAGAGATGTAAATGGAGAAAGCGAGTCCCCTTGGCTCCCACTGCCAGGAAAACTGGTGAGAGAACTTAGAAATGGAGGGAAAGGGACTGTCCAAAGAACTCATCAGAATGAACCAGGTTCACCAACTATGGCTACTGGGGAACCAAGGTCATCCAATGCTCTGCCAAGTGAGGAAGGCAAGAAGAGCAGAGAAGCTGGGAGGTGAGGGAGCAGCAGCCCCCCTGCATGGCAGGAAGCAGGAGTGCAGGTGAGGGACAGGCACTGCTTCTGAACCAAGAGACCTATGATTACACCGCACAGAGACCAGACAGCTAATCACTGACCTAGGCTGTACTCAAAGTCTGACTCTTTCCTTTTGTTTTGTTTGACTCTTAGAGAAGTCAGAGGCGTAAACAGGTTTGTCTTAGAATTCATACAGGAAAATGAAAGTCAGCCCCAAATAGGCAATGGAGGACAAGGAAGAGAAAATAAATGGAATTTCTCTTGTACTGTTTCAATCCTGTTTATTCTGAATGATGAATGAATGATGATCTCATTTCCTGGCAAGCTAAGCCAAACCTGTGCTCCATTCTTCTGCCAGTCAGAAGTTCCCCATGGCTACGGACAATTCAAGCATCCATCACCAGTTTACTGTGTGAAAATATGAAGAGGACCCCAACCCTGCCAGGTATGACCAAAGTCGGCATGGCATCACTGGCTCTCTTACCACTGTGACCAGCCCTGCCTGGTGAAGGCGTTCCCTGCCTCTCCTCCTGCCCTTTCCCATGGTCCTTCCTCCAATGCTGCCATCCTTTCAGGATTCCATCTGATAGGGCCACAGACTGTATCTCCACTCATAGTCTCTACAGTTCCCCATGTGGCATGTGGGGTAATAACAGAACCTAAGCCTCTGGGTGGATGTCAGAATCAAGTAAGTTAATGCATCTTTCAAAAGTAACTCTAGGGGCCTAGTGTGATGACTCCATTGGCTAAATCCTCACTTTTGTGCACAAGCATCCCATATGGGTGCCAGTTCGTGTCCTGGCTGCTCCACTTCCCATCCAGCTCCCTGTTTGTGGCCTGGGAAGGCAGAGGGCAGCCCAAAGTCCTGGGAGCCTGCACCCACATGGGAGACCTAGAAGAGGTTCCTGGCTTCTGATCGGCTCAACTCCAGCCACGGTGGACCCCTTAGATAATGAACCAGCAGATGGAAGATCTTTCTCTCTGTGTCTCCTTCTGTCAATCTGCCTTTGCAATAAAATAAATAAATATGAAAAAGACAAAGTAACTCTACTTCTGTCATCATGGATAAATATTAAATCACAAATCTTAAGAGTGCCAGAGAAGGAAAGAGAGCGCCTTTCATGATTCCTTCCAGTCCTGCCATTAAGCCTAATAACAACAAAGTGCACACACAGAGAACCCTGAAGACAATAACGGCAGTCTTAGGTTTTAGTCTCTTAAAATAATTGCCTTAGAAATGCTCTTTAAATTATCATTAGTTTTAAAATAAAATCAAAGGTCAGTAAGCCAAACCACATAGAGTATTTGTGTCCCAGTAGTTCTGGAAAATTCACTACTACTACTACCACACACACACACACACACACACACACACACACACACACACACATCCACACCAGTCTCTCCTATGCAGACTCTCGAGTCAGAGCCATCACTCCTGGCAGCTGCAGCCAGAGCACCTGTGACAAAATCTACACATCATGACTACTCCCAAACAAGCTTACAGCAAAAGAAGTATAAAAATAATAATTCAATGTTGTCACTCAAGAGTTTAATGCAGAGTAATACTGCAGCTGTAATGGGATTTGAATTACAAGAAGATAAAGATTAGTTAACACTCATCTCCTCCCTTGCCTGCTGAAAAGTCAAGAATGAAAACAGGGCTTATGACTCCTCAAAAATATACAGGAATTTAAAACCCACCTGCTTCCTTCAGTAACTTTCCATTTTAACTCTGATTTTCAACAGAAAATAGCAGAGAAATTAACTGTATATATTCCCTTATGGGCAAAATATATACCCATGTCATTTCAGGGCACATTGTTCCTACTTAAAGTTAGACATCAATAGTGTAAAATTAGACAAAAAAATATCACTGAAGTTTTAACACCTTTCACTAAGAGAGGACAACATTTTTTTTTTATTGGAAAGGCGGATATACAGACAGGAGAGACAGAGAGGAAGATCTTCTGTCTGATGATTCACTCCCCAAGTGAGTGCAACGGCCCATGCTATGCCGGTCCGAAGCCAGGAGCCTCTTCCGGGTCTCCCACGCAGGTGCAGGTTCCCAAAGCTTTGGGCAGTCCTCGACTGCTTTCCCGGGCCACAGGCAGGGAGCTAGAAGGGAAGCAGGGCTGCCGGGATTAGAACCGGCGCCCATATGGGATCCTGGGTGTGCAAGGCGAGGACCTTAACCACTGCACCACCGCGCTGGGCCCGAGAGGACAACATTTTTTAAGCAGAAGTTAAAGAACTCAGGAAATGCCATTTTGGTCCTGAATATAGGAGAATATTTTACCTTTACAAAACAAACAAAGGTTTGAATGTTGCACAACTCAACTTATAAAAAAAACATTAAGATTTGGAAGGCCCTGTATCACTTCACATGTGGTAGAAAGTTAAATGAACAAATGCCTTTGATAACTATGATTGCAGACGTTAAGTAGGAAGACAAGAGAAGGAACAGAAAGAAGCGCACAGCAGGTCAAGTCCTGTGTGTGCTGCCCGTGCCCAAAGTGCTGGCTGCTCTGCTTCTGCAGCAGCATCCTGCTAATGCACCTGGGAAAGCAGCAGCCTGTGGCCCTGACGCAGCCTGTGGCCCTGACGCAGCCTGCGGCCCAGATGCCTGGTTTTCTGCCACTCACGGGGGAGACCCACATGTCACTTCAGGCTCCTGGTTGGCCCGGTCATTGTAGTCATTTGAGGACTGCAACAGACTGAATATATTGGTTCATTTTGTCTTTCTCCCCTGCCCTCATCACTCTGCCTTTCAAATAAACAAATCTTTGCAATACAGTTCTCAGAACACACCACTTTGCAGGTGTTATTTTGCAGCTCTACTGTTGTTGATATATGTCAGGGTCCCTAAGTCCCGTTTGGGACAGGCTCCACTTCGCACAAGTAGGGTGGAGCTCGAACAGTCACTCAGCAAACAAATGACAACAGATACTTGTTTCCCATGACCTTTCCTTCCTTCCTTCACTGAATCCTGTAAGTCTGAGAAAGAATACAGGATATATCCTCAGAAAACAACCTGCATAGAACCATGAATGGGACAGGCCAGCAGGCAAGGCTACCCGTTTCAGGACACACACTGGACTCTTTCTCCAGGCCCCAGGAGGCCAGCGTACCTCACACCTGCCTCTTTGGTGTCTCCACAGAGTTCTGCACCCACCTTCACAGCTCCTGAACCCTTCTCATCTAGGACCCCAGAAGAATCAAGGCCACCTTTTACTTCTCACCAAGTCCGCTTCACATCTCTCAATGCAACCTTTCTAGCTGGATTCACAACTTGCAGCAGAACATGATTAGTCAACCTCTTCCTACTCAGTCAAGGCCCAAGGCTGCCCATCACACTCTGAGTGAAACCCCCAGCTGACCACACTCCAGCCACACAGCCTCCTGGCTGCTCCACAAACAGGCCAGGTGCTCCCCACAGCAACTCGGCCTGCCCTCTCCCACAGCCGCCAAGCATTTTCTGCCGGTGTCCTAATGGCAACCTCCGCCACTAACATATCATTACTAAAAAGACATCAAACCGCAAGCTTCTCTCCATCCTCAACACTTGGTCTTCCTTGATTTGCCTCTCTATGCAGCACCAATCCCAAGCCGCTTACTACCTATCTATTCAACAAAAACAGAAAATCAGAGCAAAACCTTCTGGTTTATTATCATACTGCAGAAACACAAACACTCCATGTAGGCAGTCAATAAACATCGCAACAAATGATCAGTGCTTGAGTAACCGAGCTAAGAAGCTAAGGCCTTGATGGTCGACACTGGTAGCAACCTTCTTCCTTCTCTTAATCATAACCCCCCAGTCCCTAATATCCCATGGTATTCAGCGGTATTTTTTCAAAGATGACTGCATTTAGAAGATATTTCATAATTTCCTTCTTCCATATGCCATTCCTTAAGGCCCCAGTAGTGATAATAATAAAATTGTTTATTTGATAAAGAGACAGAAACAGAGAAATTCCTCTAATGGTTCACGCCCAAATGCCCACAATACCTGGGGCTGGAGCAAAGCTCAAACCGGGATTCAGGAATTCAATTCAGGTCTCCCGTCGGGGCAGCAAGTAGCCTGAGCCATCTCTGCACTGGCATCTAGTTGTTATCATTGTTATCATTTTCATTGTTATCATTTTCCATGATACAGTTGTGTGGGTTTAGAGTCCTCTGTCCCCTCCTCATTTTCCCCTCCCACCATTTCCCCCCATATTATCACAGCAGTGTAGTCCTTTAGTAACAGTTACAAGCTTAATATTCTT